CTCCCAGTTGGCTTGTTAGCTCAATTGGTAGAGCGCTACACTAGTATCACAGAGGTCAGTGGTTTGAATCCCGTACAGGCCTGATTTTTTTTCAGGTCTGATTTTTACTATCGCATAAATAGTGCTCTCTACTGCGAGGATTGTGCATCATACGTATCTATAACCGCAGTTCAAAATATATGAACTTCATATATTCATCGTATCAAATCTCAGGGTGTTGCCATCTACTGAGAACCTAGTAAGACCCTCAAGGATTAATGCCACCCTATGTGCCATGATTCTCCAGGCAAGCTTCAAAAACATGTACCTGATCCAACTTCATTGCCAACTTTTGCTGGTAATTGGATGGCTACTGACACACTCCCACCCAGGGAGATTGCTTGAGAATCTGTTTGACTATCATCTGATGGCCCTGAAGACACCAATGATTCAGAACATTGCAGAACATTTTCTGTAACAAATTTGAGTAAAAGTCAATTACATGCCATACTTTTTCATGGTCTTCAATGTTAGATATAAATTAATAACCTGTCATTTGGGCTCATTATGTGATGCATTTATGTAAAGGATGTAATTGGCAGGTTACAGGTATAAACATACATTCTATAAAAAAAAAAAAGTAGCTTCCCTTGCCAATAAATTAGAGCTAGACCAACTTCAAGTATGAACACCAGAGTTTTTCTAAACATATTGTATGAAACTAACAGCAATTTGCTATTTACTCCCTTCTCATCCATTGCATTAACATCTGGGGTACATATTTCAAAAGTTAAAAGTTACATATTAAGTAACTTATGGGACTGTTCTTTAAATAAAATGTTATTCATTCTACTAGACATGGCTTGACGCTAACGGTAGCCCACTACCCACAGACGAGTAGAAATTCAGTTTTGGTTAGTGGTTTTCAATTTCCATAAGCCAGTTTGGCTAGTAAACAAACTGAAATTGTCATAACATCTAAAAACATCTAAAAACATCTAAGATGCCACTAGCCACTTGGCTAGTAAGTTGAAAAGTTAGTGTCAAGCCCTGCTAGATCTGGTTTCTCCCTTAGGTAAACATTTTCTAATGTAGCAGCCATAAGCTCAGGATATGATATCATAGAGAAATCAACTGAATGCTACATTCTAGTCAGGCAGCACAGGGCGAAAACTGTAACCTGTGAGCCATGAAGTAAAAAGTAAATGTACATTAACTAATCCTATAAAGCTTCTCCATTGTGTCTATGGTCCTCCTTCTAACAGGAACTCAAACTGCCACCTTGAAAGTCCAGGCAATATTCAGCGTGCCCGAGAGCACTGCCCTCTGCATCTTATTATTATTATTATCATTATCATTATTATTATTATCATTATTATTATTATCATTATTATCATTATTATTATTATCATTATTATTATTATTATTATCACTATTATTATTATTATCATTATTATTTAGACAGGTAAAAACGAGCAAT